ATTTTTTAAAAATTATATTAATTTTAAAATTATATTAATATTATAATTATATATTAATATGATAAACTAATAATAATAATATTAAATATAAAATATATATTTTAAATAATTTATTTTAAATAACATTATATATAATATAATATAAAGCATAAGATTTTTATACATAATTGTTTATTTATAAACAAAAATGTATAAAAAATCTTTGTCGTAAAATAATCAGTAATATATAGGATATCTATTTTATTTGGACATAATCAAGTATCTTAAAAAAAAATTAAAAAAGTTCATACAAAAAAAAATTATTTGTTATGAAGAAAAACTTGATGTTATATAAATATATTTTTTTTATTGAAGGAGTGAGAAATTTCAAGGTCAAATCAGTTTATAATTGGAATTATATTGATTGAAATTAAACTGTTCTTTTTGTATATATGACAATATATATTAAAATAAATTTTAATGCTAAATCATTTTGTTCAGTGATATGTTTAAAATTATTAAGCAATATATGTTATTCATTTTTAATCTGAGCATTACTTTGTTAATTTATTATTTATTATTAATTAATTATTGTTTATTGAAAATGTATTTATTATTAATTATCATCTAAAAATTTCTTAATATATAGACAATTAACAAATTTTTTATGAAATTTTAATTTTGTAAGTTTTTAAAGAATCAAGAATAAGATATTATTATATATATCGTATATATATTCTTTATTTCACAATAAAAAATATTAAAATTATAAATCTAAAATTTTTTCATACTAATAGATGTACTAATGATTACACTATTATTTTGTATATAAGAAAATATAATATTTCATTTAAAAAAATAAACTTGACTTTGAAATCTCTTACACTATTTCACTGACAAAACAACAATTATATATTATATCTCTCTTTATATAAAGTAACTGAACGTTTTTTTTTTTTTATATTTTGTCTTTCTTGAAATATTCGAATGTCAATAAAACAAAACATATCTTGTATGTTTCTTAATACTAATATTTTAAAAAATCAGATATTTTCATATAAAAAATTTGACAACTCATTTCTTTGAACAAATACGAATATTCCATGCAATTACAAAATCATTATTATATACAAAAACTTATATACGCACATACCGTTTCAAAATTTATTTTATCATAAAAGAAAATTTAATTTTACTCATAAGATCTATTTAAAATGAAAAGATTATAAAGATTTACAACAACTTCAATATAACTGATCAACATACGCTGCCGACCATTTTCTTGTTGTCCCTAGTCCCTAGGCATAATACGATAGCACATCAATAATCATGGCCATCCATTTAAAACTATTTTCTATGTTAATATATATTCTTTCAAATGAAAATTTATGTTATATTTTGTATTAACTTTGATTAATAAATATATTCATTATATTTGATTATCTAATTATCTTTTCTTCAATGAGTTTGAATATAACTGTAAAAATTAAATATTGATTAGAATTGTTTAGAAACTTTAATATAATAGTATAATATGTTATAATATCAATATTTAGAGATTCAATAATTACATTAATTTTATATTATTTTGTAAAACATCATAAATATATTTACACTTTTTCACTTAAAAAATTTTCATGCCTAGATACATTTATTTAAACTGAAACTTTTCAAAACCCTAGATTTCATAATTCGATTATAATAGAATAATTTAAAATATATTTTTTGATATAATGTTATTTTTAAAATTCATATTTATATCAATATAATTAAACAAAAATTTATATTTATATTTATATTTAGATTATAAATGAATATTCAGTAATCAATAGTATAACATTGATTTATGAAATATCATATTATGGCCTATTTTAAATACAAATTATAGTGAAAATTAATTCGACAACAATATTAGAATCTATATTCAGTTACTGAATTACTAGAAATTACTAACTTTTTCCCGCGATTTTATGAAATGTTCATTTCTAATTATATATGTTAGTAAGTAAAATATACAAGAATATAATAAAATAATTCTATATATATACATATTATTCGCATATAGTATGAATAATATAACGTAAATTTATATTTATATTAATTATTAATTAATTTCTTAATATTTATTTGTAATATAATTATATTAAATATTAATTATTTCTTTTTTTATATAATAGAGATTAAAATAAATTATTTCAAATTATTATTTCGTATTTTTTTTAATTTTATATGTTATAGAATATATAAATATAATAATATAATATATTATACTATTTTTACTGTTATATTTTCATTTTTCTTAATTAAAATTTTATAAATTAATAATGCTATAATATTTTGGTAATATATATATATTATTTTAATATTTTAAAACTAAATAATTATATTTTTATTTTTATATTTTCAAAAAAATAAGGAAATTGTAAAAAAAGTGAATAACTAAATAAAATTGTTTTATAAATTATTATATATTAATTATAGATGTATATATAGTAAGTAAGATATATATACTAATAATACTAAATTATTATTATATAGTATATAGATTAAAAATAAATGTTGATAAAATTCATCTATTTTTTTATTAGGCTTAAGTTTTCGAGCTAAAATTTATTAACAAAATCATTTTGCAACAGCAAAGAGCAGATTGTTAGCAGAAATTTAACAGATTTTATATAATTTGTTAAATTAAAAGCAAAAAATAAAACAGAGTATATTCTAATAGCAAAAAGAAGATTCTATAACTTTAAAATCATTTAAATTTTAAATAGAAATGCATATACTATCATTTAGATGAATTTTTCAAATTATTCTTATTTTTATTATTATTTAGTTTATTATTACATATATTTATATATTTATTATTTTATAATATATATCTACAATTTCACTTAAAATTTTTATAAAAAACAATTTATATAAAACAATATAAATTTATACATACTATAAATTAGAAGTTTAAAATAATTAGATATTTCAAGAAACAATAAATTTTAAAAAATTATTATTGATATAATATATATAAAAAATTTAGAGCATTCTAATAACAAATTATATATTATATGTAATTAATACATGATTTCTGCAAAAAGATAATTATATTAAGTTGTATTATGATATGTAAAAATTATAGATAATTTTTCTTAAATGTTATTGTACTTTTATTTTCAATTTTTATTTTTGATTTGAATTTGAGCATCCCATTGATGATTTAAAATTCTTTTCATACACTCTGATAATGCTATTGTTATAGATATGCTACAGATGATTGATTCATTTTCTGAAATGCAATTTTTTATTTAAAATATTTTTTTGGGACTTCTTGAAAAATTTTAATGTACAATCAGAGAAAAAATTAAGTGGCAAATAGCAAATAACAAAATTTGTTGATAAAATTTAATCAAAATTATAATTTGTTATGTGATTAAATTTCATTTCTTGCATATCTTTATATATATTATATATTATATAGTTAATGATTAAAATTAATGTTAAAATTAAAATATAATATTAAAATATAATAAGTAGTTAATGATTAAATTAATATGTGTACGAAAAATTAAATTTGTAAAAATTAGAGAGATTAGAAGATTGATAGAATCAAATTTGAGACGTGACAATTAAGGAAAATGCAAAATATTTAAGAAAATTAAAATAAGATATGATTAAAGAAATAATTCATTGATGATTAAATTTTGTAGTAATTAAAATTGTGAAGATTATTTTCTTGGAAATGGATTGAATTAACAAAAAAATAAATTTTTTTAATAAAAGTGAATTTTTTTAATAATTTAAGATGAATATTTGAAAATTTTGATAAAGATTATAGAAAACTTAATAAAAAATAAAAATATATTAGATAGTAATTATAGCAAAAAATAGTAATATTATTTATAATGTCCAATTATTTTTATCTATCTATAATTAATTAATTTTATTTTAATTTTTTTAATGTTAATTTATTTTATAATTTTAAATATTAATTTTAATTGTTAATTTCATAATCATCAACTGTTTTCATCATTTAACTATTTAATTTTGTCTCTAATTATATATAGATAAAATTATATATATATAGATTTGCATGTAGCAATTTTCTAATTAATTTTTATTAATTTCTAAATTTATTTCATAATTCAAGAAAATAATACTATTATTATTTTGACAATTTTTTTTTTTAATTGAAAATGATATTACAACATTAAATTTTAAATGCCTTACTTTATTTTTATATGTCTTTATTGTTTATTCCTCTAAATAAATTTGAATGGATAAAAGATTAAAAATAACTTGTTATCAAAATCTATATATAAAATATTTATTATTAACTTAATTTGTAATATTATAGTAATAATTCTAAAAAAATTCAATTCATGCTTTTTCTTTTCTTTTATATCAATCATTATATTTTCTATATGCAGATGTGAAATTTTATATTTGATAATATAATTACATTATTTTTGGTTGCTATTATAAACCTTATATTTTATATTTTCATATTTCTGCAATTATGTTACGAATTTAGAATCCTACAGCATCTCTAAATGTTTATGTGCTTCAAAAAAACAAAAAATATATGTCAATATTTATTCATTACTTCATAAATTTATTACATAATTAAAAAAGTTATATTATTATTGTTTTAATAATTTTTTTTTAATTAAAAATGATGAATATTAAATACATATCTTATTTGTTTCTTCCTTTGAATTAATTTTAATGATTGAACTTAGACTAAAAAGCATTTTTTTATCATAATTTACACAAAAAATATTTATTATTAATTAATTTGTATTATAACAATAATTTCAAAAACTTTAAAATTATAATTATTAAAAGAAAAATTAATAAATATATTTAATATTTAATACATATTTAATATGTAATAATATTTAACATACATAAAAAAAATA